TATATATATACACACATACATACATATATATATATATATATATATATATATATACTTTATATAGAAAAGTATTCTTCTTACAGTTACCTTTAAGATTAAAACATTTCTTCTCAAATACACTGAAAGCAACTTTTAATAAATAATAATATTGTAATCTGTAATTATCTCAAAATAATATTCTCTCTCGTTACCGAGATGTAATATACCAGGTGCGATGGTGGTGTAATGGTTAGCATAGTTGCCTTCCAAGCAGTTGATCCGGGTTCGATTCCCGGCCATCGCACACTTTACTTTTTGAAAAAATTTTTATTGCAATTTTATATTTTAGTTATAACATTTCTATTAATATGGACATCAAGTCTAAACAAATTATAGTAGCCCACATTGTGTGAATTTATCGCAATTATAATGTTGCTGTTATATTCAAAGTTTTACCTGTCAAACACTGTGATAAAGAATTCAGAATTTACAAGCTGTATTATTTCAATTTTACAGATACGTCGCCATTGTGGTAATAAATTTAATTAAATAAAATACGATCTCTCTCTAATGCATTGATAAAGATATTGAGTATGATAGCCATATAACTTTTGAAGAATACCCGACAGTCCGAAGAGCACTGCTGGTGTAGTGGCATCATGCAAGATTCCCATTCTTGCGACCCGGGTTCGATTCCCGGGCAGTGCAAATTTTTTTTCTTACAATTTTATACGGAAGAAATTAAGAAGAGATCGATATTTTATTTGTCAATTAATGAAAATTTTTTCGATTTTCTCGCAATTTTTAATTCCTCTCTCGTTTATTGATTATATTACTGAGCTAATGATATATTGTTATTAAGTTAATATTAATTTTGACGTGGAATTTTTTGAGAAAATTAATGGCAGAAGTATTATCTCTTATAATTATTTTATGCAATGATAATAGCTTTATCAATTAATTAACGATGATTTATTTATTTACTCAATAAAGTTAGTAATTTTTCACTTTGTATTTGTCAAGGAGATTTTACTATCTATAAATGTATAATAAATTATACATAAGATTGCCACGAGGAAAAAAATATATCGTAAGAAACGACGTATAATTTTATATTCCCCAAGTGAGATAAACACTGTGAAAGTAATCACTTTTGTATGAATATTATGCCAAAATCTAAAGATTATTGCTTTTCTACAAGAAAGATATATATCTGGTTTTAAAAAAATATTCGGAAAGATAAGATATATTGTGTAAAATTCTAATAAATTCATCACATAAATAGTTCAGTCGCAATTTCGGCCTGTTTGTTACAAAACAATTATTGAAAGTATGCTAGAAATAAACGTGCGATACAATAATACAGGCACGTGAGACTACGTGTAACTTATAATAAGCAGAGCAGAAGTCGCGGTCTACAATACCTGACAGTAGAATGGTTAAGAGAGTTTCTCGTGCGCATCACTTGGAAAAGGATATTTCTACTACGTAGCATCGCTATATAATTGGTATCACTAAACTGAAGATGAATTTCCAACGATTCCATTCTTCAACGAACACGGTGTATCGTTCAAAGAAGGAAAGAAAAATGTTTCTCACGATAAGGGGAACCTCAATGATAACCCACGAGGAGAGCAAACCGATCGCGTGCCAATGCATGCGGGTAGGCGTGGCGTGATTGGTCTGAGATACCGATAATAATCTCGGAGATTTGTTTAAGGAATAGTTGATGCGCATAGATAACATTCGGTCGCCCGTCGTATCACTCAGTCAGTCTAGTTCCTATCTAGTTGAGTTCGAGAATAACATATTTGGCATAAAAATGATGTAATTAATTGGCTGTGCATACTCGCGAGACAATGGCAATCATTATCGCCGCGATATTTAAGGATGTGGAGTAATGCTGTATTTACAAAACAATGAGATATTTTTAATTCCAGTTGTGCATCAATACATGATGCCGCGTGTATAATAATATTGGCATGCGCTGCTGCTGTGAAAACAATGAGACTGGAACTTTGAAGTCTATAGTTTCAGATGCCGTAACTGAATATAGATTCATGTTTTTCAAAACAATCTGCATATATTTGTTGTATACTTGATTATTTGCGACAGGAGAAAATAAAATGATAATTATAAATAACGCGGTAGCTGCGATGAAGAAACTAATTCTTATTCACGAATTGCCTGACATTAATTAGTAAGATCAAAATCATAATTATTGCAAAGATTAAATAACGAATTCAGCACTTAAGGTTTATACTTGTGAGTAAAACGGATTTTATACTTTTGCTTCATATATGTATTTATTTTTATTCAGAATGGCACGTATTACAGACGATTGGGAAAGTAGAAGAATCTTTATTTGATTGAAAATAAAACGATAATACACGAAGTGCCAAGTGCAATAATAAAACATTTCTATGCCACATCAAGACGGAGCGTGTGTAGTTGTAGCGTGATAAATTGTGCATCAGGGTGCGAATTATCAGAGAGCGTGTGAGCTTTCGAAGTATGTCTATACCCAATAGCTTTACATATAATGAGGTCGTAGTACATATAAAGGCATAGCGTGTATAAAGAACAGCTGAAGCGCATTTATAACATAAAAGTTTATAAAACTTTAGGCTATATCAAAAGTTTAAAAGGAGAATGACACAATAATTTCACCACTTCTTCACAATTTCACATATATGTATATGGAACAATCGAAAAATGAGACTTCGAGAAATTATTACTTTCAGCCCTCGAATTATCGTTACCTGCTTCTGAATAATGACAAGTTACTGTAACAAAGTATGTGCGTGATAGTGAATGATCCTGAATTATAATGAAATGAGCGCTTTGAATTCTCATTGCGTGCCAAATCGTTCACGTGGTTAAATAACTACGGTCATCGACAGATATCATGTTTCTACGAGGACACCGACTGTACCAACGAAACCAACGATGATTCAACGGGGAAAGGAAAATGTTCATGCGGATTCGTGGCAGTTGGCGCTAGCTACAATTCACATTGAACACAGCAACACACTGTATAAAACTGTATTACCTTCGCGGCTCCACCATCTCGATGATATGATCGACCGTTAACTCGGACCGCACGTTGCTTCAAGAAAAAAATGCATTGTTAAAATTCGCCGATAACAAGGTAAAAATAGTTTTACATTTATCATGATAATATGCTAACAACATAATGTTATACAACTGGCGAAATTATCGAAGTTCCATCCGATTAGATATTGTTATCGCTTGCGTTCATGGCAAACCGATCGGTATGAATAGCTT